CCGCGGGCTCAGGCAGTCCACTCACCTCAGCCTCCCAAAGGCGCGGGATTACAGGCTGAGCCACCGAGCCCGGCTGATCTTTTTATTTTCAATTTAACAGAATCACTAGGGGTATTACTAGATTGTGTTCTAAACATTCAACCAATTTTGAAAATAAGCACAGAATATTAACCCGACTGGTTTTTCATATTTCAAAAGCCGCGTTTATTATCTCTTTCACTTTGGGCAAGTGATTTAAACTCTCGGAACCTTAGTTTCCTCTTTTGTAAAATAAGAGGTTAGTAAGGAATACGTATCTCGTAGGGATGTTGAGTATTAAGTGAGATTATCAATGTGTAGTAACGAAACCATTTTTTGTAACAGAGGAGGGGGTCTAATGAAATTCTCTTGGGTATCCTGATCGTTGACGTCATGAGAAGTTGCAGAATTGTTTGGTAGTCTTAATTTCTTTGCCTTTTGAGCAAGTAGGACCTTCTTGTTCTTCAGGAAAGGTTTTTTGTTTTTGTTTTTAATGTGGAAATGTGGAATTCACATGCCCGCTTTTTAACTTTTCTGAAGCAGAATATATTTTGAAGTATTTTAAATTTGCTTATTCCAGTGTGACTGTTTAAAGGTGAAAATGAAGCTGGGTGTGATGACTTACACCTGTAATCCCAGCACTTTGGGAGGCGGAGGCTAGAGGATTTCCTGTACCCAGGGGTTCGAGACCAGCCAGGGCAACTTGGTGAGACCTCGTCTCTGTAATAAATCAAAAAATTAGCGGGGCGTTGTAGCACACGCCTGTAGTTCCAGCTAGTTGGAAGACTGAGGTGGAAGGATTTCTCTGTTACAGAGATTGTGACTCATAAATAAGTGAATGAATGAGTGAATAAATGAATACATAAATAAGAATACGAGGCCCAGTGTGGTGGCAGTGAGACTCCTACTCACAAATGAATGAATAAATAATACATGTGAATGTGAGGCCCTGTGCAGTGACTGTGACAGAGTAAGACTCTGACTTATAAGTAAGTAAATAAATAAATAAACAAATGTGAATATGAGTCCCGGTGCGGTGGCTGAGACAGTGAGACTCTGACTCATAAATAAATGAATGAGTCTATTAGTTAATGAACTGTATGTGAATATGAGACCCAGCATAATCCCAGCATTTTGGGAAGTCAAGGTGGGAAGTGTGCTTGGAGTTCCATACCAGCCTAGGCAATATAGTGAGACCTCTTTTCTTTTCTTTTTTTTTTTTTTATTTGGAGTCTCACTCTGTCACCCAGACTGGA